TGAGGGGTGCCGCCGAATTTCAGAAATGTAACACATCCTTCGTGTTTTAGGATCCTGACCCTGCCGATCTGCGTGAGGGGTGCCGCCGAATTTCAGAAATGTGACAAATCCCCTGTGTTTTTTAGGATCCTGACCCTGCCGATCTGCGTGAGGTGCCGCCGAATTCTAGATATGTACCAAATCCCGTTTGAAATCCCTTCTGTTTTTGCAGCCTGACCCCGCCGATCTACGTCAGGGGTGCCAGCGAATTCCAGAACTGTAGCAAATCCGATGTGTTTTTGCATCCTGACCTCGCCGATCTGCGTGAGGGGTGCTGCCGAATTCTAGAAATGTGGCAAGTCCCGTGCGTTTTGGACCCTGACCCCGCCGATCTGCGTGAGGGGCGCCGCCGGATTTTAGAAATGTGGCAAATCTTTTTGGACCCTGACCCCGCCGATCTGCGTGAGGAGTGCCACCGAATTTCAGAAATGTGGCAAATCCCCTGTGTTTTTGGACCCTGACTCCGCCGATCTGCGTGAGGGGTGCCACCGAATTTTAGAGATGTGGCAAATCCGAGGTGTTTTTGCAGCCTGATCTCGCCGATCTGCGTGAGGGGTGCCGCCGAATTCTAGAAATGTGCAAAATCCCGTTTGAAATCCATTATGTTTTTGCACCCTGACCCCGCCGATCTGCGTCAGGGGTGCCAGCGAATTTCAGAACTGTGGCAAATCCGATGTGTTTTTGCACCCTGACCTCGCCGATCTGCGTGAGGGGTGCTGCCGAATTCTAGAAATGTGGCAAATCCCCAGTGTTTTTGGACCCTGACCCCGCCGATCTGCGTGAGGGGTGTCAATTTTCCCCACACCAGCAATTCAGACATTATGATTTGGACGTGGTAGAAATTACTGTTTTAGGCCTCCCCCCTCGCGCGGTCCATCAACAAGGAACAGTAAGCAGCAAGAAGTCAACGAGGAACAGTAAGCAGCAAGAAGCAGAATTGTAACAGTGGAAACTGGAAGCTGGAACTGGTACAGGAAACTGCGAACCTCGGGCCTTCAGCCTGGTGGCCCCACAAGGGGGCCGGCGGATATATATATATATATATAGATATATATATATATATATATATATCAGGGAATTCCTTGCCGCACTATATATATATATAGAACGGAGAGCCCCCCTACTGGGAAATCGGTTTCGGTTTCGTGTTCGTGCGTGCCGTGCGTGTGGGCGAGGCGAAGCTGCGTGGGCGGGCGAGAAGAAAGTCTCCTCCGGCTGAGGCGCGGCCGGACCAAATGATTCCCTTCCGGCAACCGGTGCCGCGCGGTGTCCCGCTGGTGTCCCGCCTCCGGCTGAGGCGCGGCCGGGCCAAATGACTCCCTTCTGGCGTCCGGTGCCACGCGGTGTCCCGCTGGTGTCCCGCCAGTGTCCCGTCGGTGTCCCGATGATGATGATGATGATGATGATGATGATGATGATGATGATGATGATGATGATGATGATGATGATGATGATGATGATGATGATGATGATGATGATGATGATGATGATGATGATGATGATGATGATGATGATGATGATGATGATGATGATGATGATGATGATGATGATGATGATGATGATGATGATGATGATGATGATGATGATGATGATGATGATGATGATGATGATGATGATGATGATGATGATGATGATGATGATGATGATGATGATGATGAAGATGATGATGGTGGTGGTGATATTGATGACGTTGATGACGATGCTTTTGATGATGATGACGTTGATTGTGAGATCGATTGTGATATCGATAGTGAGATCGATAGTGAGACCGAATGTGGGATCGATTGTGAGATCGATCGTGAGATCGATAGTGAGATCGATTGTGAGATCGATCGTCAGATCGATTGTGAGATCGATCGAACGAAATAGATCGAGGGAGATCGATTCGATCGAGTGAGATCGATCGGGCGAGACCGATCGTGAGATCGATAGTGAGATCGATAGTGAGACCGATTGAGTGAAACCTTGGTTCCCCCCCCTGAACCGCTTTATCACCCGAAGGGTGGTCGTATAGGTATATGTATATGTATATATATGTATATATATGTATATATCATATATACATATATATATATATACATATGTATATCTATACTAGTGTGGACCCGTGGATTAAATCCACGGAGTTCAGCGGATCGAAGTTTTGTGGCGCGCGCTGGGTGGTACGACGCTTACACCTACTGCAGCAGATCCTTTGAAGCTTGTTCTGGAGATGTTCTCCCACCGAAGGCGCCGAATCCAGCGAGGCGGGCAGTCGGGGAGCCGCTAGGGAGCTTTTTGGGGCCCCTTTGGGGGCCTCTCGGGGCACTTTTGGTCCGTGTAGGGGCTCTCTCTGGGCCGCCTTGGGCGCCTGTTGGGCCGTCTTGGAGTGTCTTGGGGCCATGGTGGGCTGTCTTTGGCCCCTCTTGGGGTCCTCTTGGGCCGTCTTGGGCCCCTCTTGGGCCGTCCTGGGGCAGTCAGGAACCATCTTGGAGCCCTGTTGGGGACGTCTCGGGCCGTCTTGTGACGGTGTCGGAAGCCTCTGGGGCCGTCGTGGGCGCGTCGAACACGGAAAAAGATAATGTGCAGAATGTAGCAATTTCACGATGGGAATGCTACGATTTTTGTGTGATGGGGCCCAATTTGGGAGGCATCTTGGGCCGTGTGAAGGCCGCCTTGGGCAGGCCCGGGACCTCGGGTGGCCGTGGGCAGGCTCGTCTGAAGTGTTCTGGGGCCGTTTGGAGGCTCTCTGGGGGCCTGGGGCCACTAAGAAGTGTTTTGGAGCCGTTTGAGGCCGTTTGGGGGCTTTCGGGGGGGCCGGGGGGCCCGGGACCACTAAGGGGTCTTTCGAATTTATGATTTGAATGGGTAGATTGTGTGGTCAGCGAAACAATTGACGGCCGCCTCTCATCGGATTGCACGCCAGTCTTGAGATGACTAGCGCTGCGCCACCAAGCACCACCACTTCTACCCCTGCCAGCATTTTGACTGCCTGACTGCGGCCTCGCCTGCTCTGCACTTGGGGCCACGCCCCTGCTGCTTATGAGCGCCCAAGCCCAGCAAGACGTCCAGAGCCGCACACGCCTGCAGAACGGAGCAGAAAACTGATGATGATGATGGTGATGTTGTTGATGATGATGATGATGATGATGATGATGATGGTGGTGATGATGATGATGATGGCGGTGATGATGATGATGACGATTATGATGATGGCGGTGACGATGATTATGACGATGATGGTGATGATGATGCTGATGATGATGCCGATGATGATGATGATGATGATGATGATGATGATGATGATGATGATGATGATGATGATGATGATGATGATGACGACGATGATGATGGCGGTGACGATGAGGATGGTGATGGTGATGGAGGTGGAGGTGATGGGAAGAGGGAAGAGGAGGATGAGCAAGTGGAGGGAGGAGTGAGGAGGAAGAGGGGGAGGAGGAGAGGAGAGGAGAGCGACGCGCGGCGCTGCGGATTCAAAAAGGGGACCCAACACACACGAGTGATGGGAAACAATATGACACCAAGGAGCCCCGAGAGGCAACCATGCATGGTGCCATTCTTTGGGGAGAGCGTGCAATGGTTTCACGGTAGTTGTTTCGGCTTACACCTCTTCCAAGACGACCTTGCAGGCCTCGTGAGCGCGAGCGCGCAGAAATTTACCACAGGTTGTTTCTTCGGGTGCGCGAATTCGTTGCAGTTTGCCAAGGCTTGTGGATCCGACAGGGCGAGTGCATGGTACTTCAGGAGAGAATGCCTCCTCGGGGGCGCGAATGCGCAACAACTTTGTGTGTCCCATGGCGCAGCGCAGCATTATCCTTGCGACATGCCCCACCGTATGCATCTGTGAGTACCGCAGTTGTGAGTATCGTCTTCAGTGGAGCTCTCTGTGCGGCCACGAGATGCATCGGAGGGGTGTGCCGAAGTCGGCAGGGCGGCCGCATGTGGACGCACCCGCTGGTTCCTCAGGTGGAACTCCCGTTGGGGCCATGAAGCGTGCTGGGCCGCCCCCTCCCCTGGGGCCTTCGGTGGAACCCTTACAGGGGAGACCCATGCCAAGAACCACCCTGCTTTCCTCCAGGGTGCCCTGGGTTTGTTGGGTTTCGGTGGATTTGCGATGGAAAGCGTGACGTTCCCACACCAAAAGTCCATGGACGCCCTGGGGTCTCAGGGTTGGGTTTCTTGTGGAAGGTTTCTTGTGGACTGGCCTCTACTGTATGGGGCCACGAAGCGTGTGGGGCCGCCCCCCTTGGGGCCTTCGGTGGAACTCCCTATAGGGCCGTGAAGCGTGTGAGGGGTGCGCCGAAATGCTCAGGGGCTTCGGTGGAGCTGCATACAGCCGGCCCTGATCAGTAGGCCGACCATGCCAAATCAAGAGTGTCCTTGTGGCCTGTGCCTCGCGACCCATGCCCCCACATTCCTATGGCAATGGGGCCCTGGAAAGGGTCTTGTGTCCTCTCGCGTCACCTGTCCAATCAAGTCCCACTGCATGGAGCCACGAAGCGTGTGAGGGGTTCCCCCCAGGCCCCCAGGAGGCCCACAGAGGCCCCGACGAGGCGCCTCGAGGTTCGGGCAATGCGGAGCCAGACTCGGGTCTGTTTCAGACCCAGACGACGCGTCGTAGAAGCAACCAAGGAACCCCTTACACGGCTTTTGGGCTACCATATCAAATGGTGGCATGTCCCACGACCAACCTTGAGGGAACTCTCAAGTCAACCTGGCAGTGCAACTCGAGCGCGACTAGAGCCTAAGCGTGCGCGAAGCGCGCGCGTGTTTCTAGTGTGTGTGTATGTGTATACACATGTGTGCATATGCCTTCCTGGCCGAGCCTGTACAGCTTCCACACCAATCCTCTGCCCAGGATGTGCTTGGCCGGGATTTACGTCGGCGTGCTGCTGCCGTGCGGTGCTCCTGCTGACCCTGCCGCGTTTGCTGCCAGAGAAAGCAACGCGACAGCTCTCCAGGCCGCCGTCCGTGGGCCAGACGGGCCGCCTGTACTGCTCCGCCTCTGCCCCGTCGCTCGCCCCGAACTTCATGCCCACGTCGGAGCCCGCTGCTCGCCGCTGCCCAGAGAGCTTGATTGAGGGTTGATGGGAGGGAGGGAGGTCGAGCGACGTGCAGAAGAGCGGGTTCGATTGCGAGGACACTCGCGCGAACGCTGCACGCGCAGGGTCGCGCGCGCGGAAGCCCCCCCTCTTTTCTGCCTGGTGTGCCGCGCCAGCGGCATGCGCAAGCCATCGCGCAAGGCCGCCGTGCCCTCCGCGTGAGGCTCCCCCTTCCTCGTCATCCAGGCGGGTGGTGGTGGTCGCTGCATGGAGGGCCAGATCCCCGAGCAGAGCGACCACGCACCGCGACCACGACGACGACACCGATGCCGACGACGACGGAGACAAGGCGCGCCCACGATGTGGGAGGCGAGGGGGAGGACAGAGCAGGGACGGTGAAGATGAAGATGCAGATGAGTACGAAGATGTTGGTGAGGATGCTGCTGACGATGCTGCTGATTCTGATGATGGTGGTGGCTGTGGTGGTAATGGCGGTGGTTGCCATGATGATGCTGATGCTGATGCTGATGCTGATGCTGATGATGAAGGCAACGACGATGATGATGATGCTGCTGATGATGCTTATGATGATGATGCTGATGATGACGATGATGCTGATGCTGATGATGATGACGCTTATGATGATGGTGATGCTGATGATGCTGCTGCTGATGATGATGAGGAGGATGAAGATGCTGCTGCTGATGATCATGATGATGATGAGGATGCTGATGATGCTACTGATGATGATGATGCTGATGTGGAGGAGCAGGAGGTTGCTGACGCTGATGATGATGATGCTGCTGAGGATGATGGTGGTGATGGTGGTGGTGGTGGTTGTGAGGGTGATAATGATGGCGCTGACGACGATGCTGATTACGATGATGATGCTGCTGATGATGACGCTGATGATGATGATGATGATGCTGCTGCTGCTGTTGCGACTGCTGATGATGCTGATGGTGATGCTGTTGCGGCTGATGATGTGGATGCTGCTTCTGCTGCTGATGATGATGTTGCTGATGATGCTGCTGCTGATGATGAGGATGATGATGGGTGTGGTGGTGTTGGTGCTGATGCTGATGATGGTGATGATGCTGCTGATGATGATGATGGTGCTCCTGATAATGATGATACTGATGATGATAATGATGATGCTGACGCTGATAACGATGACGAAGCTGATAATGCTGCTGTTGTTGATGTTGCTGTTGTTACGATTGTCGTTGTCGTTCTTGTTGTGCTGCTGTTATTGTTCATGCTGCTGTTGATGATGCTGGTGATGCTGATGATGATTGTGATGGTGATGACGCCTATAATGATGATGATGATGATGATGATGATGATGATGATGATGATGATGATGATGATGATGATGCTGATGATGGTGATGATGTGATGATGATGATGATGATGATGATGATGATGATGATGATGATGATGATGATGATAATGATGATGATGCTGAGGAGGATGCTGATGCTGCTGATGATGTATGGCGATGATGATGATGATGGTGATGATGCTGATGATGATGACGGGGCTGGTGCTGGTGGTGATGGTGGTGATGACGATATTGATGCTGGTGCTGATGATGATGATGGTGATGACGACGATGAGGAGGAGGAGGAGAAGGATGAGGAGGAGGATGCGAGTCAGGAGGAGGAGGAGGAGGATAACCATGCGGAGGAGACGGAGTTGTTGTGGTCGTCGTCGTCGTCGTCGTCGTCGTCGTCGTCGTCGTCGTGGTTGTTGTTGAACATTATTAATTCTAAAGAATAATTATTGTTGGGACCCCTGGTGCACGCCCCCCCTGCGCCGCCTAGGCCGCAGCTACATTTTCATCATTTTCGTGAGGAAGCCTCAGGTAATTCGATGTGATCAAGATCCGGTTGTTTTGTTCCCCCCCGCTTTCCCTTGCAAAAAACACTATAAAATGACATTTCTTGTTCTAATATAATCAAATTTCAAGAATCCCTTGCAAAAAATAAGGTAAAGTGGACATTCGCGCGCGCAAGACGAAATCCTTCCAAAAGCTTAGTGTTCGGAGCGATTTTAACATAAAAACATCAAAAAACCAATGGTTTTTCAACAAAAAAATGTCAAAATCTCATCCCGCGCGCTCTTGCGGATTCGTAGGAAACCCAACACTTTTTAAACATTTCTGTCAAACGGGCTTTTGCGAGCAACTTTTTCGAACTTCTGCGACAACGGTTGCGCACCTGCCAGGGCCATCATCCCTGTCAAATAATACCATGCGGGACACATTCGTTTTTTGCGCGCGCACGCCGAAATCTCCAAAAACCATTGGGTCCTCGAAAAACACCTGCACGTCTTCCCTTGCGAGTACGTATCATGTGTATCATGTGTATCATGTACCATATGCATCATATGCAACAGATGTTCTGTGGAAGGCTTAACAACTTCTGTGGGTTAACAAGGCTTAACAACTTCTGTGGGTGTACGAACGTAGGCTTAACAACTTCTGTGGGTGTGTACTCCACGCCAGTGTAGTAGCCACGGTCGTCCGCAGGCCACGAAGTGAAGTGTCCGAACGTCATAGGGCGGGAAGCTGGGTGTGGGTGGTGGCGAAGAGTCGTGTGGATATTTGGTAGAGCTTGCACTGCCCCCCCACAAAGTGGGGGTATTGGCTGGCGTCGCATGAAAACCCTGGCACTGGTGAGAACACTGAGCGTTCGGGTAAAGTGATTGTTGTTGTTGTTGTTGTTGTTGTTGTTGTTGTTGAATTCTCATTTCTGAAGAATAATTATTGTTGATCCCCCCCACCGGTGCATACTGTTTTTTCTCGATCAAAGTGTGCCCCTCGACGCTCGCACCCTGTTTTTTGACAGGGAAAGTCTTCCTGCTCAAACTCTGCCCTTGGCCCCCGGGTTACAACAACAACGGCTCCCGCCTGAGACTTCCCGACAATTTAGCCAGGACCCCCGCTCCCGCCCGAGACTTCCTCGCATTTTATTCAGGAATCGCGCTCTCGCTTGGGACTTCCTTGCAATTTATTCAGGAATCGCTCTCCCGGCGCTCTGGAGTCGCGCTCTCGCTGGAGACTGCTTGCAACTTACTGAAGAATGGCCTTGCGTTGGAATTTCCTGCAATTTGCCCAAGCGCCGCGCTCCCGACACCCAGGCACCCAGGAGTCGCGCCCGTTGTGGCCCCATGTGCATGCCCTTCGTGGCCCCGCTGTCGCCATTTGTGTCCCCCTCACTGTCCTACGTGGCCCAGTTGCTACCCTCAGTGGCCCCATAGTTGCCTTCTGTGGCCCCGCATTATCTGCACTTCGTGGCCCCCGCTCGTTCGCGCTCTTCGTGGCCCCATACGCATTCCCTTCGTGTCCCCGCTGTCGCCCTTCGTGGCCTACTTCGTGCCCTTCGTGGCCCTGCTGTCGTTCTCTCTCGCTCTCGCTTTCGCTCGTCGTCGCCGTCGTCGTCGTCGTCGCCGTCGCCTTCGACATCGTCGTCGTCGTCGTCGTCGTCGTGGTCGGTCCCCTGTCCGTCCCTCTTGGGGTCGGCGGCCGCCCCGCCGATCAGCGCTGCCGCTGGCCAGGCCGACGGTCCGCGGCCGCCCCGCCGCTTGCCGGGGCCCGACCTGCAGGGAAGAAAGGTATACCCCCCAAAATGGGTTCGATCGAAGACGAAGAGGGCGGGTATCGAGGGTTTGGGAAATACGCGTTATTGGACACTCGAGCATATAAGGGCGAACAGTCTTGAAATTGTTGTTGTTGTTGTTGTTGTTGTTGTTGTTGAAACATTATTAATTCTAAAGAATAATTATTGTTGGGCCCCCTGGTGCACGCCCCCCCCGCCGCGCCTAGGCCGCAGCTACATTTTCATCATTTTCGTGAGGAAGCCTCAGGTAATTCGATGTGATCAAGATCCGGTTGTTTTGTTCCCCCCCGCTTTCCCTTGCAAAAAACACTATAAAATGAAATTTCTTGTTCAAATGTAATCAAATTTCAAGAATCCCTTGCAAAAAATAAGGTAAAGTGGACATTCGCGCGCGCAAGACGAAATCCTTCCAAAAGCTTAGTGTTCGGAGCGATTTTAACATAAAAACATCAAAAAACCAATGGTTTTTCAACAAAAAAATGTCAAAATCTCATCCCGCGCGCTCTTGCGGATTCGTAGGAAACCCAACACTTTTTAAACATTTCTGTCAAACGGGCTTTTGCGAGCAACTTTTTCGAACTTCTGCGACAACGGTTGCGCACCTGCCAGGGCCATCATCCCTGTCAAATAATACCATGCGGGACACATTCGTCTCTCTGTATTATGTATTGCATGGCACAATTGCACCATGCTGGGCACATGCGCGCCCCGAATAAGTGACCAAGTTCTGTGGGTGTGTACCCCACGCCAGTGTAGTAGCCACGGTCGTCCGCACGCCACGAAGTGAAGTGTCCCAACGTCATAGGGCGGGAAGCTGGGTTTGGGTGGTCGCGAAGAGTCGTTTGGATATTTGGTAGAGCTTGTAATGCCCCCCCACGAAGTGGGGGTATTGCCTGGTGTCGTATGAAAACCCTGGCACTGGGGAGAACACCACGCGTTCGGGTAAAATGACTGTTGTTGTTGTTGTTGTTGTTGTTGTTGGGATCGTTGCTGTTGTTGTTGTTGTTGTTGTTGTTGTTGTTGGGATCGTTGTTGTTGTTGTTGTTGTTGTTGTTGTTGTTGTAATTGTTGTTGTTGTTGTTGTTGTTGCTGTTGCTGTTGCTGTTGCTGTTGCTGTTGTTGTTGTTGTTGTTGTTGTTGTTGTTGTTGTTGTTGTTGTTTGTTTTTTTGTTCCAGGCCTACCTGCGTTGGAGTTGAGTCCTAGTGCATCAAGATTTCTGTGGAGGTTATCTCCGTGGACTGGCACTTGTATTTCATCATGCGGTAGAAGAGAGGCGGGAGGGAGGAGGATGAGGAAGGATCAGAGTGTTTGGACGCCAGGGGAAGTGGTTGGGGCCAGCTCTTCCTTTTTTTCTAGCCCAGACCAGTTTCCCCCAAACAGTGCTTGCACAATTGGCCTCTTACTTGCCCCCCAAGGAACTGGATGACTTCGCCGAGGTTCATCACGTTGCCGCCCATGGCGCCTCGTGGGCGTCCCCCGTGCGCTGGGTGGATCCGCCGACGTTTCCACATTGTCGCGCGTGGGCGCCTGGCAAAGGGTTTCCACCAGGGACGCCAACATCGCGAGGATTTCGCGGCAAGCGCTCAGAGGCTTCTGACGACTACGAAGACCTGGAGGAGGAGCGTTCACTCACGAAGAGCAATGCGAGGACAACCCCCCTGGTCAAGCCTCGACGTGACTTACCACCACCACCTGAGGTCAACGGCGAGATGGAGGACCAACAGGTTCTCAAGAAGTACAAGCCTCAGGTGGAGAATTAAATGATCATCGCGGAGAACATCGGACCCGAGGAGATAGGTCCCCGATTCTGCGCGGCCCTGCCGGACAGAGCCCTCGACCACGTCGAGGACGAGAGCTCAGCGGTATTCGCAGTAGCCAGTGGCGTGGAGTTCCTGCTAGACAAGTGATCTTACAGAAGCCCAGCGCTCGTCTGTGAAGATTGGCGCAGCCATGGACATTTTGTCACGTGGAACACATCAAACCATGCCAAACACTCTTGCCGCTGTCGGTTCGCGTGGACAAGGCCGTCCTTCGGGCCAAATCCCTGGAGCTCGAGATCCCAGTCCCGATCATCATACGGCAGGTCGTGGAGAGTTCGCAGCTGGGCGCCTGTGCGCAGGCGACGTTGCTGATGGCAGCTGGCTCCATGTTCGGGTTGCGACCCTATTTCCATTGCCGCTGGTCCACTTCCACGTCTTCCCACTTCCACGTCCACCCATTGGGCTCCAGACTACACTAGATCAACATCCAGACATCCAGCCTCCAACATCCGACGCCCCACACCACCTCTATCCAGATCGACCACCAGTCCCAGGCCGACTACTGAGGGCTCCGGCCCCCCCGCGCCGCCCTCATAGGGCCGGTCCCGCCGGACCGTCATCGCGCGCTCTCTCTTTCTCTCTCTCTCTTCCATTGCCGCTGGTCCCACGGCACAGATGCCAAGGTTATCGATGGTATTAGCATCCAAAGTCCTTGTACCAAACGGACAGCGACGGGTGCGATCAGTGGCACGAAAATTCAGATTGCCCTGCAAGTTACGGCGACCAGGATGAGAACTACGACGACGGCTGCGGAGAGGATGACTTACGACAGCGACTTCTAGGGCGAACAGCTTTCAGAAACCGTGGTTCGAGAAATGCGCCCACGTGGCTTTCGAGCAGGCCCGCGACGTCCTGAACCAGGCGAACTGGGCCCGCGACTACTACAGTGGGTGCCAAGTCAGGCGGCGGCAAAGGCAACAACGGCAAGTCCGCGTTCAGTTCCAAAGGCAAATCCGACGGTGGCAAGGGTCAAACACGCCGTGGTATTTCTTTTGACGAGTTCAAGAAGGTGACGAATCGCTCTGCCTAGGACGAAATCGGACATCGGGCTCGAGATCGCCAGTGCCGCCTCACCTGGAAGGGCCGTTGCGTCCGACGAGCGGGATGTCAGCGCGCGACGCGTGGCGCCTACCAGCTGAGAGCGAGCATGGACAGCAGTCAGGTAAGTGCCCATCAGTTACGACGCGACAAGGCGTCGCGGCCAACATACTATCTTCTGTGGATGAGTCAGCGTATGCACATCGCGTGTTGGCGGCAATTTCGAACATTCACCAATCCATGGGGACTTCGGCGCCTGCCGTCAGTGCACCACATGTGAAGGCAGCGGTGAAAGACTGCTCCCGACGGGAAACACGCATCGCCCATCACGATGACATGCGGGAGCGGTGCCATAGTCGAATCAGAACGCGAGGGGTTTCCATACGGAACGGACAGTCGACGTGATGAAGATCAGCCGTGTGACATTGCCGAGAATATCGATCCGGGCATTTTTACCTAACAGCTCTTGCTGATAGGTTTCTAGTGGTTTCAAAAGAGAACATCATGACTCCTCAGGGGGGTCTGGGCGGGACCCGGGGAGGCTGCCGTCGAAACCGAAATCGCTTGGGACATCCTCGCAAAATCGCTCTTGGTGCTCCCAGAACTCCATTCCCGGGCCACATTTTGGATGCCCGGAGCCAACTGTAGGCCACTTCGTGCTCTTCGATTTCCCAGAACATCATTCCCGGGCCACATTTTGAATGCCCGGAGCCAATTGTAGGCCACTTCGTGCTCTTCGATTTCCCAGAACTCCATTCCCGGGCCACATTTTGGATGCCCGGAGCCAGCTGTAGGCCACTTCGTGCTCTTCAAGTTCCCAGAACTCCATTCCTGGGCATGATTTTGAATGCCCGGAGCCAACTGTAGGCCACTTCGTGTTCTTCTAGTTCCCAGAACTTCCATTCCTGGGCCACATTTTGAATGCTGAGGCAGGCTGATGCTGCGGCCGAGGCAGGCTGAGGCTGAGGCAGGCTGAGGCTGAGGCCGAGGCTGAAGGCAGACTGAGGCTGAGGCTGAAGCAGACTGAGGCTGAGGCTGAGGCAGGCTGAGGCTGAGGCTGAGGCAGGCTGATGCTGAGGCAGGCTGAGGCTGAGGCTGAGGCTGATGCAGGCTGAGGCTGAGGCAGGCTGAGGCTGAGGCCGAGGCTGAAGGCAGACTGAGGCTGAGGCTGAAGCAGGCTGAGGCTGAGGCTGAGGCAGGCTGAGGCTGAGGCAGGCTGAGGCTGAGGCTGAGGCAGGCTGAGGCTGAGGCTGTGACTGCGACTGCCGTTGCCGCTGCGACTGTCATCGCGAATGCGACTACGACTGCGAGAACAGCAGAATTCGACAACTGGATTTTCATTTGAATCTTAAGGGGAATGCTTTCAGATATGCTTCTACACATCGCTGTTAGGTTGCTTTGCCGGGATATTTTTTTGGAAAGGGGTTTGGACACATCATGTCAGACGAAAGTGGCCAGGAAACGAGGTTTGCGATTATGTCAGGAGTGTTTTCTGGGCCACCAGGGCTTGCGTGTTTGCGTTGGACTTGGAGGTGGGCGGTTTCGTTTCGGCCCTGGTGTGCCTGCCATCAGCAACGAGAGGTGGTCAATCCTGGTCGGGATTCGCAAATGTGCCGCGGTTTTGCGCACGTCGATCGTCGACGACGAAAGCGTTGCCTGACTCCCTCTCCTTGGCGGCCGCGATTCAATGGCCGACCTCGGCTGTGTGATAGATTTGGCGAGCGCCTCAACCCTTTGTCCTCTGCCTCGGTTGTCCCTCTTCCGAGTGCGCAGCTGCTGATGTCCAGAGGCGGCAGTCTCGTGGTTCGGGCCGGCGACTGGCCGAGTGCAGGTCTTCTACGGGCTAGTCTTTGTTTGTCGGCGCTGGTCGGATGGAGAACCGAGCGATCAGCGTCGTCGTCGTCGCCGCCGCCCAGAACAGCGCTATGGGGCTCGAGGGCGAGCTGATCAGCAGCGGCAAAGCGCCAATTCAAACGCGAGCTGAGCAACCCCGTGCCGCAGGGCAACATCGGTATCTTCTACCAACAGTGTGCAGATCAGTATTGGGAAACGGGGGCAGGTGCATCGCGGGCGCCAGGCAGCAGTGGCGCGGCGATTGGCGGCGTCGGTGGGGTCCTCAAACTAAAAATCCGTCGTGGCGCTTCGTTCTCAGCTCAAGCTAGCCACCGTGCTCGCCCTGCAGATGTTTGCTCGCTAAGTCAGCTTTCCATGGCGACTTCCTGGGCGGCAGAGCTTCCGTGTCCTTCCCGCCCGCTCGCCGTGGGTGCCTCGGCGGATCAAGCGGGCCCCCGAGGGGCGTTCGGGCGCAATGGTCGAACCGTGTGCGCGCCGTGGCGACTGCGATGCGCATGATCCAGCGCGGCGGATGTCATAGAGTCGTGGACTCAGTAGTTGTCGACAAGTTTCCGGTGATGCAGATCTCTGTTCGATGGGGGGACATGTGCCGCGCTACGTGCTGGGCGCCGGGGGGAGTTCGACTGCGCGGGTGGATAACTTTCCGAACCCGGATCGGTTGTGCATTCGCTCCGCCAGCGGCGCGCGCGCCAATTCGGGACCTGCCGGGATGTTCAAGGTGTGCCCCAATTGCGGGGCTGTGCGGAGGGGCGAGGGGCACCCGTTCAAGATCGGCAGAAGCAGATGGCGGAGGTGTTTTTTCTGGAACGCCCGGGTCGCTCGAAGGTCCCCAGGGGCCAAGGTCGACGGGGTCAGCGCCTCGGCATGCAGCTCTCACGAGCCGCTTTTTTTGATCGGCGCGGCCCTAGCGCCCCGCGCGCCCTGGTCGCCCGTGGGGGCGAGCGTCGCGGGGGCGGCCGGCCGGCGCGCGGGGGGCGAGGTCGCTGGCCGCCGCGGGCGACGTGGTGGTCGAGGAGCTGGGCTCGAGGTGGGAACGGCTCCCGAGGTGGGGGCCGAGTTCGGGGCTGCCGTGGGCGCCGCTCAGTCAGGGCGCTGCATTGGCGCGGTCATGGTGGCGCGCGAGAATTTCAACCCAGGAAACATCTACCTCGAGAAGCTCGAGACCTCCGAGTTGCTGCGTTGGGGTCGTCGCGGCATTGGCATGCTCGAGGTCTTTGGCAGCGAGTGCGGCGTCGCTATCTCCGTCGCGAACGCGCCCAGCTGTGCGGGCAGGACCTGCAGCTACAATCGGTGCGCATGAAAGTGCTCGAGGCGATTGACGCGCGGCGCTCTCGACCTGTGATCGCGCAGCTACCGCGCGCCCCGCGGGCCCCTCTGAACAGGGGCATCAACTGGAAGGACAGGCCAGAGGCCCCCGCGTCGCCGCAGGACGGAGAGCCATGCTTCTTGACCTTCACAGAGGACATACTCAACAATCAAATACTGCGCGGCAGCCGCGCCCTCCTGGAGGACCCAGCGTTGGCGGATTCCCGGAGGGGGGGCGCGGTCGTGGAGCTCGGGAAGGCGAACTGCGAATGCATTTCTAATGTGTATGTTTGGGAAGGTCGGAAAGGCAGCTCTCTCTCTCTCTCTCTCTCTCTCTCTCTCTCTCTCTCTCTATATATATTTCTCTTTCTCGTTTTTTGTTGTTTCCCCCTTTTTCTTTTCTTCTATGTTCTTTTATTTTCCTTTCCTTTCCTTTCCTTTCCTTTCCTTTCCTCTCCTTTCCTTTCCTTTCTTTTCCTTTCCTTTCCTTTCCTTTCTTTTCCTTTCTTTTCTTTTTTATTTTCTTTTATTTTCTTTTCTGATCGTTTCTTTTCTTTTCTAGTCTATTCTTTTCTATTATATTCCTTTCTTTTCTTTTTGATCTTATCTTGTCTTGTCTTGTCTTGTCTTGTCTTGTCTTGTCTTGTCTTGTCTTGTCTTGTCTTGTCTTGTCTTGTCTTGTCTTGTCTTGTCTTGTCTTGTCTTGTCTTGTCTTGTCTCTCTCTTCTCTCTCTCTCTCTCTCTCTCTCTCTCTCTTCTTTTTTTTTTTTTTTTTTTTTTTTTTTTTTTTTCTTTTCTCTTTTTCTCTCTCTCTCTCTCTCTCTCTCTCTCTCTCTCTCTCTCTCTCTCTCTCTCTCTCCTTTTTTTTTTTTTTGTTTTTGTTGTTTTTTTCCCCCCCCCCTTCCCCCCTCTCTCTCTCTCTCTCTCTGTCTCGAGAATTTGGTGAGATGGTCGGGGAAGCGTCGGCGGTTGGTCTGAGAGCTCGATGGGCGCTGCGACCGCTGGCATCGACGCGGGGGGGGTCTGCGGAGGCGGGCCTTCGGTCATCAGGTGCGTGCGTGGCAACTGGCGGGCGCGATCTGTCGCGGCTCCGCCGGGGCGGTCGATTTCGAGGATTTAGGCCGCGGCCCCCGCGTCTGCAGCAATTGCGCAATTCGTTTCGACGGTCGCGCTCATCATGTCCACCAGGTTGACTGCGGCATCGGGCATGGAGGAGACCGAGCGGCGCAAAATCGTGAGCGGCGTAGTGGGCGCCGTTAGTCGGCGGAGCGCCGCTTCAGCCAACGTCCTTGAGGGCTCGGATGTGCTGTCGGGTCGAGAAGCGGATTCCGTGGCCACTTTTCAGCGCGCAAGCAGCCTTCGCCCCGCAGCCGAGCGTCTTCGACCCGAATCTCGACCAGACGTCCATCGGTTCACTATAATGCTACAGGATGATGAACGCATCGTGATCGAGCGCGAGTGCGTTCCAGATGCTTGCGCCCCTCGTGAACGACTGCAGACGCCTGTCGAATCACCGCCTGCCCTGGATATTAATCGTACCTATGCGACCCCTGCGGGTGATAAGGGGGCATCGGGGGGTGGGGTGGGTGGGCGGGTGGGGCAGCAGTGGGCAATAGTGGTGATTGTTGTTCTGACGATGCCTGTGGGGCGGAGTCTAGTGAGTAGTGTGATTGTGCGCGTGGGCGTGATGTGATGTGGCGATGTTGGCGAAGCGCGCTCGACATTGTCGTGGGGCGCTGTCCCCGCGTGCGCTTATCGATCGCGCGAACCTCACCTCAGCGCTGGTCGACGTGGTCGAACGCGCGTGCTCGCGGCGCCACCCGATGCTGCATTGGTTGCAGGTCCGGCGCTCGAGGCGCGGTGCCGGCGGCGCCTGCGTGTGGGTGGCAGCACCTCCTGACCCAGACATCCGATGTCTCGATTTTTTCGGGGCGCGGGCCCCCGGCCCCCCGACCGCTTCCCCGGGGCCGGTTTTTCACACTGAGTCGTTTTTGGACGGTCCCGAGGCCTAGCGAGGGCCCCGAGAGGCCGAAAACGAAGAAAAACATTGGTCTCGATTTTTTCGAGGCGCCCGACGTCTGGGGACGGCGCCGGGGTTCCCGCGTCAACGCCTGACGCACTGGCAAAGCCTGGTGCTCGCGCGCCCTCCTCGAGCGGCGCGTTCTCCACTGCGGGCGCGTCGTCCACTGCTGGGTGCCGTGCCCCGTGTGCCCATGTGATGACCATTGTTTTCTGGGCCTTGGGGTTCCATGTGAACTCGGGGTGGCTCTCGATGAAAGCTTTCAGCCCCCCAGGCGCCAAGAGCTAGTTGAACGTCTCGTGCGCGTGCTCGTCCTCCGGTCCGAGCCACCATCTTTTTGTGCTCCGGCACAGCATGCAACGCGGCATGATTGCTTGTCGATTTGCACGTCGATGTGCATTGGAAAGCTCGCCGCGGCGCCCACGGCGCCTTGCGATTTGCATCTGGATGTGCAAGTCGATTTGGATTTCGATGTGCTTTTCGGTCTGCAAGTCGGTTTGCATGCAGACTTGCGTTGGATAGCTAGCCGCAAGCGGTGATGTTTTGAAATGCGCAACCCACGGCGGGGCACCGGCGGGGCGCTAGCGTGGCGCCGCGGGCCACCGTTTGACGGGGGGGGCATCATCTGGTCTGGCCGCGGCCCAGGTGTGGATTTCGGGGCACCAGCGGGGCGCCGGCGGGGCACCGCGCGCCACCAGCCGCCGGAGGAGGATCATTTGGTCTGGCCGCGGCCCAGCCGCAGGAGGATTCTGGGGGCACCCGCCAGCGGGGCGCCGGCGGGGCACCGCGGGCCACCGGCCGCCGGAGGAGAAACATTTGGTCCGGTTGCGGCCCAGCGACAGGAGGTTTCGGGGCACCAGCTGGACGCCGGCGGGGCACCGCGGACCACAGGCCGCCGGGGGAGAATCATTTGGTCCGGCCGCGGCCCAGCCACAGGCGGATTTTCTTTCGCCCGCCCGCGCAGCTTCGCCTCCGTGCACGGCGCGCGCGACACGAACCCGAAAGCGAAATCGATGTCCTGGTAAGGGGGTTTCTGTTTCACGTCGGACTCACCCCCCAACATCGGGCGCCCCCTTCTCCCCGGATAGTCGAATGACCCCAGCCAGTGCGCATTTGGTCGGGGAAGTGGGGCGTCTAGGCCGAACTTGATTATAGGGGGGAAGTTGCGAATCGAATTTGCTATCTTCTTATGTTGAGTAACGGGAATTCTAACAATTCCTATTGATGTCCTAAGGATTCCTGTAGATTTCCAAAAGTTTCGTATATATTTCATAAGGGGTCCCCTGGATGTCCTCAGGAATCCGATGGATGTCTGGAGGGATCCGACAGATTGCTTCAGGATTTCTATAGATGCCCTGCAGAGTCTGGCGGATTTCCTTAGGGGGTCCAGAGATTTCCCAAGGATTCTTATTCGTATCCAGAGGTGGTATCCTACGGATTTCCAATGGAAATCCATGGATGTCCTCAGGGGTCCTCTGCATGTCCTAGGGGGCCCTGCAAATCTTAAAACATTCCGATGGATTTCCCACAGGATCCACTTTCTCCTCCTTGCGCCCCCGCCCCCGATTTTTTCATCCCGCGTGTTTCGCATCGCTGCCAACGGGCCGCGTGTGCCGTTGAAAATTGTTACCGAGAGTTGTGTTTTATAGAAAAATCAGGTCCCGAACCGATAATTTTTTGACAGCTGGTCCTGGGGTTCCTCGTGGTCCTCCCCCTCCTCCTCCTCCTCCTCCTCCTCCTCCTCCTGCCCCGCTTTCCTCCCCGTGGATTTCCGGGGGAATCCCATGGGTTCCTTGAGGCGTCCTGTGGATGTCCGAAGGGATCCAATGGAATTCCTTTGGAATCTTATGCGTTTCTGCAGGGGCCCTATGGATTTCCGAAGGGATCCTGAAGACTCCCCGCGGAATCCGAAGGATTTCCTAAGGGGTCTTTTGGATTTCCGCAGGAATCCGATGGATTTCCCAAGGGGTCCGAAGGATTTCCTGAGGCGTCTTATGAATTTCCGAAGGAGTCCGAAGGACCCCCCGAGGAATCTAATGTATTTCCCCAGGAATCCAAAGGACCTCTTAATGATTCCCGCGGAGCGTCCAGGACCATCCTTATCATCATCGTCGTCATCATTTTCATCGTTGCGCTGCGATCTCCGGGAAAACGTTTCTTATCGCCTTTGGGCATCGAATTTTCTTATCTCCGGACGCGGTTGCGCTCTCTTCGTGATCGGGCGAGCCCCCGCCGGCAATTTTGCGCCCGCGCATCCTCTGTCGGATGCGAGTCGCGTCATCTGGTGCCTGTGTCAGACGAGCGTCTCCAGGAGGAAATGCAACCACTTCCCGCTCAACGACGTACTGGCGACGAGATCTGGTTCGCGGGCCCCCCCCCTCCTTGCCGGCGAGGAGCGCGCGGCGCCGATCGCGGCCAGGGTGTCTCGGAGCCTGGGCCGCGCATTGCAGCCGGTGCCCGCTTGACTCCAATTGCGAACTGCGATGCAGTTCCGCGCCTTTGCAGCGTGGCGCCGAGACGGCCGCGGCGGGCCGAGATGCCCTGCGTCGGTTCGTTCAGTTCCGGCGACGGTCTCGATTGCCTCAGCTTGCCGGACGCGTCGCGCGCCCGCGCGTCTGTGCCTGAGTATCCTGGAGAATTCTTCACTTCTCATGGTGTTGGTCTACTGTCCTACCAGACATTCAGCGGCAGTGCTGGGCACCCCCAGCATGGTTTGGCCATCGTAGGCAGGCAGCCCGGACCGCGTGGTTCCTATCGAGACGAAGTTTTTCAGTTGGCATTTGTCGAACATTTGGAGGAGCACGCTTGCGTTGTGGAGGTTCTACCTGTGGAGGCACATGGGCAATTTGGACGCGTCGAGGCCCACGTCGCTCTCTGAAAGCACCTGGCCAAGACAGTCATACACGCCGTGCAGTTGAGCGTCGTCGACGATAGTATCGAGATGATGACCACGTGGATCAATATCGCGGGGAATTCGTGAATACGCCAGTGTGTTACGTCACCCGGCCAATGAATTTTCGGTGTGGGCTGCAGAATTCTGAGGAGCTTTACCGGCCCTGCCAACGTCGCAGTTGCGCGCGGTTCGGTGACGGCCGATGCCGAGCTAGTTAGACAAGCCCGCATCCGCGCCTTGGTGGTCGCGGCCCGTGCCAAATTCGACCGCTCCGAGTCTCTCGAGCGCTCGATGCTCAGATTGAATCGACCCTGCCGAGGAGACGCA